TATATTATACGCATAATATACATTATATTGCGAGTTATATATTATCTGCAGATACTGTTATCGTTTTTTAGTCGTAAATCGCGAACGGGCCTATTCATCTCGACTTAATCCACATCCATTAATCATCCATAATATCGTCGAGCAATCGAAAGAGCAGTGCGTGTCCCATGTTGATATCCTTGGATATCACAGATATCCGAGGATATCTGTGTGGGGAATTACGATCAGTGTGAAATACAGACGCACGGGAAACGGGGAAGTTGAAAGGATTGTATAAGCGGTGTGATAAAAATATGTAGCAAAATTCTATAATAATATTAATTGCAGATATTCCAATGTTTTCACGAATATAAGTTTGTTGGCGAACAGGCCATTTTTGCGCAAAATATAGCTTGTTTGTTTTTGCGACAAATTTTTGAATTGCGGAGAATACCTATTGATGATGCAAGTTCGATACGATTGGTCAAAGTCGTTGATTTTAAAAAGTGATGCCTTCGTTTCTCTCTCTATGGTCTCTCTCTTTCTCGTCTGATTGAATTGAAAGTCTAATTTCTTTTATAAATATACATATGTACATCAGCTGTGAGTCCTTTCAGAGATTACGATTCCTCGCCGTTTGTCAGTTTTCACTCTGTTCGATTATATGTTATTAGCTAATGCAATTTTAATTTTAACGCCCCCTCCGAGAGAGAAGTTATACATATATGCTATATCAAGTTCTAGTCACGATATGATATATAAGAATATACGATAACATCCGATAATGATATACTTGAGGTGATCACCAATCCCGGTCTTCGCGAACAGGTCTGCTTTTCTTTCAGCTTTTTTTTGCAAATTACAAGAATTATGTAAAATCTTTTAACGTATATTACAAAAATACATTAATCAAGTAAATATTAACTCTCTCTTTCTTTCTACAACTATAAAATATATTTCATCAGCAATTTTTTTAATTTTATCTCTTTATCTATATATATAAAATATATTTATTTTCTGTTACATATAAACGACTTATTGTCGCTTTTATATATCTTCTTGTAACAAATATTTAATAGAATTTCAGATGTAACGTTGAATGATTTCAAGTAACGCGGCGTCCTTTTTGAGATATCGATTGAACAGAAACGAAAATGTTGAATATTTACAAACAATATATATATATATATATATATATTTATTCTTACAAATTTTCTGTTACATATAAACGACTTATTGTCGCTTTTATATATCTTCTTGTAACAAATATTTAATAGAATTTCAGAATCTTTCAGAATTCTTGTAACCAAATTCTTTTTAAAATTTTTATAATAGTTGTACTATTTTCTTAATCGCGCAATAGAAAAAAATGTGGTCATCTCAAGTATAACGATATGGATGATCTCTCGATAATATATAATGATAACTAATGATAAATATATAATAATAATCATAATAATATATAATAATAATAATAATAATAATGTTAATGGTTACCAAGGATAGCGAGAATGGAGACTATTTGGCGATATCTATTGATTTTAGCTTTGTATCGTAGCGTTTACTCGATATGTAAGATTATATAATTACGCGTTACATATGTATATCTATTATCGTTATAACAAATGAAGATTAAAGTAATTTATTGTAGAATGAAATTCTCTTATACGCGGGAAGGAAGAGGAAGGGGGATACGCCATTAAAAAGGTATTCTCGGAGTCCTTTTCCCGTATCTCTCAACTCTCAATGTTTCGAAATTAATTCGGTGATATATCCATCTGTATATTTATCCTATTAACGAGAGCTGTGTTACGGAAATCCAAGTTTATCTTCATCAGCATTTACTTCCGGAAATGATGGAAGCGTAAAGATGAGAATACACGTCAAGATTTTAGTATGAGATGATTTTAAAATATTAATTTTTTAAACATTTTTTTTGCACTTTTTGTATAATTTATATGTTTAAATAGCTCTTAAAATAATTAAAATTATTAGTTCTTAAAATAATTACATCCATAGCGAGGATTCTTAACTTTCCATTTTTTTTTCATCGCGTCAATCATTTAGTTTTATATCTTTGGTGAGATTTTTGCAGTTCTAACGATATGATATGTCTTGTTCTCATCGCTACGTTTCAATTCGAAGCATAAGATCGAGTGAGAAAACTGAAAATTCACGCGTGTAATAGGCCGCTAATATTATCAGCCGTTTGAAAGGATATTTTCACTTTGCGAATTATAATCGCCGATCAGAGGTTCCTTCTCGTCGGCGATCGGAATCCAAACAACACAACGCATTAATTATCACAACGCGCATATTTAAGAACCCATTAATCTGATCGCCGAGTGATTAGAGAGAGAGAGAAGGTAGAGTGTAGAATAGCGGTGTGTAAAGATATCTTTTAGTCTCATAGCATGTCTTGTAGTAGGCCTTGAAAGAGAATTTTCCCCCCAAACTTTTCACCTTCGAGATTGCAATGGTCGCCGGTCCATCGCGCGATATTCGCGACAATTGCAAGATCGTGATCGTGAAGGACCTCCCTTACTTGCGCGTTACTCGGGTTTGGTTCTATCGTTTATCCAGGACCAATTATCGAATTAAACGATAATGTATCGGTATATAGCATGTGCCATGGCACGCTATTACTCAGCAGCATTGTACTTAAAATACTTTAATGAGAATTCACGAATTAATATATATTGTTGAAAAATGATTGAATGGCGTCGACTGGGGACAACAACTGCAGTATTAATTTATCCGGTCGATGATTGCGAAATCATCAATCCGTCATTACGAAAGAGAGGGAGATAAAAGAGAAAACAGAGGAAGAAAATTGTAACATTTTTTACATCGGTCCCTGAATCGAAAGTATTCAATTCTTTTTTTCGCGAAAAAATAAATGTCTTCTTTCAATTTTATTACTATTATTATTAATATGATCGGGTGCAAATACACGTTTCAATGTCTTTCCCCTTCACTTGTGAAATAATCGTATTAGAAAATGATTTTCACCATTGACAACCTGGTCGGCGCCATCGCTCGCGAGTTAAAAATTTAGCTAGAGATAGATCCGGTCTCTTCGGCTGCGCTTCTTTTTGCACTTTCCGTATTTAAAATAAGACAGATCTGTATTCATGTTACACGAAGAAGGGATTAAAAAAAGAGAGAGACAACAAGCGTGCTGTCGAAGAGAACGGAATTGGTATAAGGAGAACCATGTACGTCCTATATGTACAATGTCGCCCGCTATTGACACCATTGATATCGATTATCTCATCCCATCTACCATTTACGAGTAACATATTTAATTAGAGGCAGTAAAATAAAACGCGTCGATTGTCGTGATTGAAATAATAGAAGGTAAATGTAATATGCGCACCGTGATATAATAGATTGTACGTGTGAATATTCTGGATCGTGCAGAAGGAAAGTTGCGATCTGTCCGAGCAGGCTCGTAGAGAGAACGAAACGAAAATAAAGAGATGTACACACGACCATGCACCCGAATGTTATATATATATAGTATATATCGCAACTCATGATACATATAATATCGATGGAATCCCGAAATATCTCTCTTAAAAATGTATCAATCGCTTGAAGACAACATTTCGAAAAGGTATACTTTTATGATTCACTGTGTATGTCTATTTCGAGAATATCATTACGAAACGTGCGATCTCCGAGAGAACGATCTGGATCGCGGATCAAGTGCGATTCTGTGAATGCATCGAATTGAAGAAAGAGAGAGAGAGAAAAGGGGAAAGAAAAGCGAATCTCTCCGCTTTTAAATATGTAATATCGATATACGTTAGCATTAAATCCGTTCATGCACATTTGTATGCCGAGCAGCGGTACGTAAAGCGCACGAAGAAGAGATGTAAATAAAAGAGAGGAACACGCGCGCGTGCGCGCGCGCGCGAGAGAGGGAGAGAGAGAGAGAGAAAGATAAAGAGAAGTGTATTTGTAAAGCTGTAGTTTTTAGTCTGGAAATACGTCCTTGACGCAATCGGCCCGAAATTATGAGCAACGTTGCGTTTGTATCTCTCTCTGGATTTTGTCCCACACGATTACGAAAGCAATCCGAACGATGATCTGATATGCCTTGCAAAATAATCAAGAGCCTCTTAAAAAACCAATCAAACTGCTTTATCTCGCTGTCAAAAAGATGTCAAGGAAGACAGCGATGTATAATTTTTTTTTTATCCCGCAGATAGGCTTCCATCTTGGTTCGGCCGATCGGCGCAGATTTCCGTCATAAACTTTCTCTAAATGCGTCGTTCAAGTTATAAATATTATATATAACTATTTCGGTTATATCGTCCGTAAAAGTAGCGGCATAATTTTCTTCCAAGCGAAGAAACATGTAGCAAAAGTGGTACGAACGTTCACAGTTGTGTGCGAAATAATAGTGATGGATGACAACATCGAATTCGCAAAAGACCCTGAAATATGGATTATGATTGCTAATTAAGGGACTTGGTAAAAGAAAGTGTTACACAAAGTAATAAATGCTGGCAAGAGGCAAAACTATAATTGAATTAACATAAAATTACTTTTTTCAAAATTTTGGGCAATTATAAAATTATTTCTTTTAATAAAAATAATTATGGTATATATGTTTGTATAAAATTTTTTTTAATTTATCTATTTTTCTCACTCTTTTACACCGTTCCTCTTCCTTTTACCAAGGCCTTTAATTAAAAATTGCCACTGGCCATCACATCTTACGCATTTTTGCAATTCATCGCGTCATTTTGAGTCACTTAAAAAAGAATCGAGATCGCGTCGTGCACTGAACTCTCTCGTGCGCTCGAAAGGTCACAGCGTGGCTCAGTGAATGTGCATAAGCTTCGCTCAGGGACGATGGACGTTTCCATATCGATCTTCGAGTAAAACGACACCCCGGCATATTTTCGTGCAAACAGGCAATGCTTGAATCGGCGATATACAACCCCGTGTGCTATAGTTAAACTACTCTCGCCACTCATTATGCGCCACTTGTACGGAGAACGATCCACGATACGAAATAAAGCACGCGAGTAGAATTATCTTTCGATTTTTAAGGTGATCAAAAAATATTCTTTTACGATTAAATAAGAAAAATATGAAAAATATAAACTTTTTAAATAATATTTTGACACATTACATATAATTTACATTCTATTACCTTATTATATAGCACATTATTAACTATTACTGTTTTACTCTTATTATGATTATTCGTATATTCATTGCATAAAACATTCTCGAAAATAAAGAGAGCAACTCTGATGGATTGATTCGAATGTCGGGTGCAGATCTAAAATGCAGGAAAGTTCTCGTTGTAAAAATTCATTGAGATTGTAACGTTTCACATTTACCATTTCTTTCGAAACCATGCCCGATTTTTGTAGAAGAAGAATCGTATCGTATATCGCAATCGTACGGTGACTTTTCGTGCGTGACTATATGCAATTTTCTACTCGCTGTCATCCATCCATCGCTCGTTATGCGTGATATATGACGGACGTGCGCATCTGCATGCAACTGTGTAAAATATATACATATATATTCATATATACATATATATATATATATATATATATATATATATATATTATACACATAATATATTTTATACTATATATATATTATATTATACGCATAATATACATTATATTGCGAGTTATATATTATCTGCAGATACTGTTATCGTTTTTTAGTCGTAAATCGCGAACGGGCCTATTCATCTCGACTTAATCCACATCCATTAATCATCCATAATATCGTCGAGCAATCGAAAGAGCAGTGCGTGTCCCATGTTGATATCCTTGGATATCACAGATATCCGAGGATATCTGTGTGGGGAATTACGATCAGTGTGAAATACAGACGCACGGGAAACGGGGAAGTTGAAAGGATTGTATAAGCATCGCGGTGTGATAAAAATATGTAGCAAAATTCTATAATAATATTAATTGCAGATATTCCAATGTTTTCACGAATATAAGTTTGTTGGCGAACAGGCCATTTTTGCGCAAAATATAGCTTGTTTGTTTTTGCGACAAATTTTTGAATTGCGGAGAATACCTATTGATGATGCAAGTTCGATACGATTGGTCAAAGTCGTTGATTTTAAAAAGTGATGCCTTCGTTTCTCTCTCTATGGTCTCTCTCTTTCTCGTCTGATTGAATTGAAAGTCTAATTTCTTTTATAAATATACATATGTACATCAGCTGTGAGTCCTTTCAGAGATTACGATTCCTCGCCGTTTGTCAGTTTTCACTCTGTTCGATTATATGTTATTAGCTAATGCAATTTTAATTTTAACGCCCCCTCCGAGAGAGAAGTTATACATATATGCTATATCAAGTTCTAGTCACGATATGATATATAAGAATATACGATAACATCCGATAATGATATACTTGAGGTGATCACCAATCCCGGTCTTCGCGAACAGGTCTGCTTTTCTTTCAGCTTTTTTTTGCAAATTACAAGAATTATGTAAAATCTTTTAACGTATATTACAAAAATACATTAATCAAGTAAATATTAACTCTCTCTTTCTTTCTACAACTATAAAATATATTTCATCAGCAATTTTTTTAATTTTATCTCTTTATCTATATATATAAAATATATTTATTTTCTGTTACATATAAACGACTTATTGTCGCTTTTATATATCTTCTTGTAACAAATATTTAATAGAATTTCAGAATCTTTCAGAATTCTTGTAACCAAATTCTTTTTAAAATTTTTATAATTTTTTTACGTTATAAATCAAAATGTTACAGAGTTTAACAAGTATCTCGTGAATATAATGTAATACAATATAAACCAATTTTTCATAGGAAGAAAAGAGAATAATCGGATGTGTAATCGGTCAGATGATGAGAGATTTATCGAACACGACTATCCGGCCCGAGATGGTAAGATTAAAATCTGGTCAACAGGTGTGCGATTATTTCCTTTTCAAATTTATTAATCAATTTACATCGAGCGTTGAAGCGATAGATCGTCCACGAAAGAGACTCTTACACTGAGGTTAAATTTTGACGATACGGAATGAGCTAAGAAAGATCGTTACATTTTTACGGTTTACATTTCCCCAAATGACGTTCTATAAAATGTAAGATATACGATACTTAATTTCTAATTAATCTGAAATCATGTAGCGTGAGAAATCTTCGAGAGGACGCTATGCTCGTCGGGCGTCGCGCGTCGAATCTCGAAATTGTAGGGCCGACACTCGAAAACTCGGATGCACCTTTGCCTATATACGTACGTACGTGTGAGTGCGAGTATGTATGTGTGTAAAAAAGAGAGAGAGAGAGAGAGAAAGAGAGTGCAGATCGACGTCCCGAGCATCGCGATCATGGAAGGGTCATGCCTTTCCGGAGAAACGTACGCGAAAGATCCACCTAAGAGAAAAAAAGATATCGCCGAGGTCATCGAGGAACCTCTGGCTTGAAACGAGAATGTATCTTGTAATCATTCCATTGCATATTATATATATATATATATATATTATTAAGGTTTAGTGCGACACAGTGTACTGTAAATCCATAGAAGTTATTACCGTATCTCGTAATAATTATTATGTAATAAATATTGTTGTTAACATAAAAAAAACACGGGGCCCGTTGTTGCGAGGTGTTACTGCACCTACGTATAAGGATATTTGTTGAAACCAAGGACAACAAGTGGGATCGTGGATATTGAATAAAGCATCTGCACGTGGTCCTTCGAGCGGTGTCTGTATTATAAAAAAAAATCTCTTTTACGGGAGTCAAAGGTATCTTTCCTGAATTATAGATTTAAATTATGATTACAATTACAGGTTACAAAATTAATTAATTACGTATCATTAATGACATATGATATGATGACGTAAAACGGGATTACAGACTGATCAGAGCGAGCGTAACTTTACGCCGGAACAAAAGATGTTGCGCAGGTATGAAATTGATCTCCCGTTTTTTAGCAACAGGAGCTAAAATTTATTTCCCATTATGAAATAATATTATAAATTTTAATGAAGGACGAATTCTCAAAACAAACTCGTGCTACTTTCGATACAATCTCCGTTGCGTAAAACTTTTGCTCGGTGCGATTTGACCCCGATTTTTACTCTTCTCAATGATACACGATGTTTCATTGAAACGATCGGATATTGATTGAGTGATAAGTTGATTCGCCTGTTAAATACATCGTCGTCTCGTTAAAAAAAAAAAAAATTATGCGCCACTGAATAAATATAAAACGCGGTAAGCGAGAATAGCACGGTGAAAGTATTACATGTCGACCACATGCAAAACTGTCTATTAAGTACCGATCGATCGGATGTCAATGAACGCGATCTAGGAGACGCGTAATTTCTTGCTTTTCGCGCAATATACAATCGGCGGAATATCTGTTACTTAATAAAAAAAGGGAGAGAAGACAAGATCTCTTCGAACGATTAAATGTACAAAATATCGCGTGCGACGTATAAAGATAAAAC